GAACGGGTTCCAGAAGGAAGACGAACTAGTCTCTCGCCAATTCTGCCTATGTGCTCTGACTTTGCCTTGGCAATGACTCTTTTGAAGGACCTAGAGGCGGAATTATACTTCTTTTTAGAGCGCTGGTGTTTATATCCCTGGACGCTGATGCGTCAGCCCAGGCTTGGTAGCACTCCTGCTTATAGCATGATGCTATTTTACAGGAGCGACCAAACCATGGCTGAGATTTGCCTCCAACGGGCACCACAGAGGAAGGAATAAAAAGTTCCATACCCTGAAGTACCGCATCAGCGACAGAATCCGCAACAACGTTGGGATCTTCCGGCGAGAAGCAAACCCGCCCCCAAGGGTAGGATGCAAAGAAAGACCGCATCCCATCCCAATCGGCTGACCTATAGTGCCAAACACGGCGGCAGCCTGCAGAATGCAACCGCGATTTCAGCGTGAGTGGCACCACACTCCGGACAAGACAATGGTCCGAGGAGCCTAAAGGGGCGTCGACGGAAATCTGATATCCGTCCGGGTGAGAGGTCAGCAGAAGGTTCAACAGGGAAGGTGCATGATCCTCCACATCTGGAATCCGCGTAGGCGAAGTAACCAGTTGTGTCAGACCATATGCCAAGGCAAAATCATGAACAGATCTCCCCGCATGATCGGTTAAACGTGAACCGAGCCATTCGGCGTGATGGGCGTTAAAGTCGCCGAGGATCACGATCTCTGCGGAGGGGTTCTGCTGTAGCAACGAATCTGCATCCATTTGGACGTGGTCGAAGAGTCGGTCTGTTTCGGCATTACAGCTATGGGACCTATAGAGGCACCCGTAGACGCGCGGATGGTCGTCGCTGTCTACGCGTAGCCAAAGGATGGACAGGTCCGAACCTTCAAGTCTGCCGAGGCGTCGAGAACAGATGTCCTCTCTGACGTAAACGCAAACTCCAGCCCGAGGCACAAAGGAGTGTTCCAGTTTGTACCCCGGGCAGGAGAGATACGAGACATCAGCCGGAGAGGACACCTGCGTCTCGGTCAGAAAGAGCAGAGCCGGCCTCGCCGTCTCGAGATGGTAGTGGACGGCGTTTAGGTTAGAGTGAAGTCCCCTGATATTGCAGAAATTCACGGACAGCGTGGCAGGGGTCGCCTTGGTCTTGTTGCTCCGTTTGCCCCGAGCAGTTTTAGTCTTGAGCGAAATTTTGCCCCCCCCCCCCCCAGAATACGCGGGGCAGCCTGAGCACCCACGCTCAGAAGTGGAGAAACATGGTCGTGGATGCTCAGCGAGGGATTCTCCAGGGGTGCTGGTACCCTCCTGGGGTAGTCTATCATTTAATTTCGCTACCATGTTGATGGGGGGGGGGGATTTGGGCCTCCGGCCACCTGTACTCACCAGACGAAACGCGGAAGCAGAGCTTCCACTTCACGCCGGTATTCTGTGAAGTCGTGGTACCACCCCGGTTTGAGCCGGCCCATACGTGCGACAGCAAAGCTGCCGCGTGGCTCTACCACTTTTAAAGGTTTAAATGGTTTGGGCCCAAATAAAAAATTATGTTGGTGCCAATAACTCCACGTTCAAAATGAGTGACTTATAAGTTGGCACAATGCTTGGAAAAAATACTGTCAACACTGAGAGGACATATCGGAGTACACACAAAGGATTTGCACCATTTTCTTAGTGAGAGTCTTACATCTCGCTGACAATGAAAATATGGTCAGTTTTGATGTCTAGTCACTATTCACATGACTAACTATTGAAGACTGCATCTCAATTGTAACTAGGAAGCTAGAAGATAACAACATGCCTGCAGAATATGCATTATTATTCAAACACTACCTTACACATGGTTATCTATTGTGGAAGGAAGAGTTCTATAAGCAAGTAGACGGTTTGGCGATGGACTTACCTGTATCTCTTGTATTCGCCGACATATTCATGGAGGACTTTTAGGAGTAATCCCTTCTTATTGCTCCTGTGAATTCAAAATTCTACAAGCGATGTTTTAGTCATCCGAAATACTGATAATACTATTGGTCACACTGTGTATAGAAAAAGAACAACCAACCTATATTTAAATGATGAATCTCACCACCATCTATCACAGTTAGCTACCGTGGCAAAATCTTTGTTTGAGAGAGCACAAGGGATCTGTGATAGAAAACATCTGGTTGCCGAGCTTCAGCACGTCAAACAAGTATTGCAAGACAACAAGCTTAGGGTCCCACGCCTACGTCATGGTTACCAAGTAAAGCTGTCCACGGTCGAGCGTGTACCTGCTGTACTACCATACGTCAGAAGAGTTACAGATACTAATGGCTACATCTTGAAGCGAACTTCCATTAAACCTAAAACAAGCCGCTGAAGAAGATTAGTCAATTTTTACCATCCGCCCAGTGCAATATCTCTCTACAAGATGCAGGAGAATTCTTCACTGTTAATGTGGTCTCTCGTACATAGGACAAACAAGATCTATAAGAGCTCGCGTAAAAGGACATATAGCTGATGTGAAGCACCGATGATTCGCGAGGCTATTGAATTTAAAAAAAAACATCCTAATTCCAATATAGAAGATGGATGGGTGCTACCATCTGCTTATGATCCTATAATTAATAAAATTCAATCCAAACCCAAGCGTACCACCGCAAGACTTCGAAATACTGTAAGATAATTCTGTGTAGACTGGACCAAAATTAATATTCAAAAACTGAAGATAGCTGAGCTAACTATGACATCGGGACGTCAAATATCTCAGTCCTTTCCCCTCCTCCCCCCTCGTGATCATGGGTCCTGTAAAGCACCCAAGGTCACGAAACGTTGGGAATTAAAAAAAATTAAACACGATAAAATCCATAAAAATTAGTTTCATTTTATATGTAGTGATCGCGTAAGTATAAGAAATCATCACTCTTCTCTTTTTATTGTTTACAACCTTTTTTGATTAACGTCAATATTTTGTGACAATTTTCCACTGCATCTACTTACCGTCAAGTGGATCATGGAGGTTAGAGAACAGGAGAACGATCACTACGTACTAAAGCATAGCTCGCCTGTCCTTGAAAATTGTAGAATTTATAGCGGCGCTGACATCGGTGAGTAGTGACTGCGAAGTTAGCTGTTTATGAGTACAACTAGATGAAGTTAGTTGAATAATGTACAAATTTTCTAGCGGCATTTTCATGCTCCGTCATTTTGTAATTTTTGACAAAAAGATATATTAAAAAATGGAGAAATATTTCATTGTGCGCGGATGTGCAAGTGGTTTAGCATCTGATCAGAATCTAGACTGATAATGACTTTTATTGACCGAACTTAGCGATCGCAGTGCCTCACTTATGGGTTCTCTAATCTTCATGAAGTGGACTGTGTGCTCTTTTATTATCTTAATTCTATTAAAAACAATTTCATACGATAAGGATAGTACGAAATTGAATAAGGCTGCATGCAAAGCATACCTTTGCAGGTTAGGGACATTTCGGTAAATTTCTATCGATAGTGTCAATTACGTAATTATGATTATTTTAAATTCAGTTCCTATTCCTTCGTAACATTAACATTATAAAATGTGATAATTATTCCCATCTGTTCGTGTACTAATCGTTTGTACCTGCTCAAAAACTAAGTATTTAGACAACTTAACATTTCTGGTTGAATTAATTTATTTCGTAGATGAGTAGTTATATTAAGGTACTCCGCAACTAGTCATAAATAATTACATCTATTAAAAACTAATTTTCACTTTAAAACATGAGATTTTGCAAATACATTCATTTTGTTCACGAATGACACCAGGCCGATACGAACTGATAGTCTTGCCTATCTTTTACGCTCTAACATCATTGCTAATCTATTGTAACGTCAGTTTATACTAAAAATATGGTTAGTTATAATATTAGAAGGGTCAAGATACGAACGTTATTACGCATAACGAGTGTTGAGATTGTTTTGACTTCCGTGCGACATTTCTCTAACTGCGTCGTCAAAAGAATGCGTAAGAGTTGGACCTACAATATTTACAAAATAAACGAAATACAAAAGACTAAAGACCTTAGATATTTATATGTTAATTATACGTGTATAAGTTTTATAAAACGATTTATGTTTTTCTTCCTTATTAAAACTCTGTTATTACAATTTATGGTTGAAAATATATTATGCAATCGTGTAAATAATCTTACCAAATAGTCCTGTGGAAAACTAGTACAAAGTGTAGGAAATATAATGAAACGAAATAATAATTTTAATACATTTATTTACGCTTTGCATTCAGTTCACGTATGTACTTATTCTAGTTAAACTAAACACTAAATTAGAGACTTACCTTTTTTCAACAATTTATAATAAATGTATTTTTTCTGTCTACTTGTCCATATCCATCCACTGTGCAATAATTACAACATTTTAAAAGATTGACGTGCGAGTTCTAATATGTGTGCACGGGCATCCCGTTCGAGCATAGTAAAGGCAGCTTTCTATCATTTGCATGCTCTTAACGGCGTTACGTGCACGCCAGATTGTTGTAGCTACCTATATGTAGCAGTAAGTAGAGTATAGTCAAGGTTGCTGATTTGTGGGGAATTCCCCAAACTGCGGGGAATCTCAAGTTGATTGGGGATTTATTGGGGATTGGCATTATGCGGGGAAAATGCGGGGATTTTAACATCTTCGTTAATATACTTTTTCGAAAATACCAAATACTTTAATATTTTTTTTTAATTTAGGTACTTATGGATAACGGAGGACTCAATACTCTTTATTGTACTTATCTTTTTGAGTATGAATGAGAAGAAAACATCGCTTAAAAGACAAGCATCCAAGCCAAAAATCTTAATATTTTTTCTGATCTATGGTTGCAATAAACCAAATTGAATGAAAGCTAGAAATATCGGAAAGTATACCGACACTATGATTAGGGGATTCCCTTTCTTTTGACGTTTTGTGAAATAGTGAATTTCTTAACATTATAATATTATAATACGTATTTTGTCGAGCCGTAACGATACTATCTTGTACAAATATGGATAAATGGTTAATGAAAGGCCAAAACAAAGAAGATAATCCTAAGGTAAGGTAATTAATAGCCTTTTTATTTATTTGTGCGCGATCATGAAACATTAGAAGGTTACCGTCTGTCAGAAACTCAGTGATTATAACTATCCTAATTTTTGGTTTTTAGCTTGAACGTAAAAGGAAACCCGAAAAGGAAACATCAGAGGCTTCAACTTCTAGTATAGAAGTAGAATATGCTGTTCCCATTCCCAGTTCCAGTTTGACTTCAGTGGGCTTGGCAACAAGTGAGTCAAATAATCCACAAACTAAAAAAATAAAACGCCTGAATAAATTTAATGATTTATGGCTTCAAGAACCAAACTTCTTGAGCTGGCTATGCAAAGATTCGAAAATGAAAGATGGAAATGATTTAGCACACTGTATGCTTTGTTCGGTGTCGATCATAGCGCATAAAAGTGATCTGATTCGACATATGAATTCAGATCGCCATAAGAAAAAATCATTAGAAATACAGAATATTCCAAAAATTTCAAATTATTTGCCAGTGATGGATTTAGAAATAAATGTACGAAAAGCTGAACTAAAATTAGCCGGAGCGTTGGCTGAAAATAATATACCAATATCATTTAGCGACATCTTGGGCCCACTCTGCAAAGAGATTTTCGCAGACTCAGTTATAGCTAAAAATATGAATTTACACAGAACCAAAGCGACGGCTATAATAAATAATGTTTTAGGAAACACATTTTTAGAGGATATATATGAAAAATTACGCGGAGAAAAAATCTTCTTTTCATTAATAATGGATGAAACGACTGATCAGAGCTCTTTAAAACAATGCTGTTTTACTGCTGTTGTCTATGATGAGAACACCAATAAGGTAGAGCATTTGTTTCTGGATATGGTGGAATTGTCATCAGGAACTGCTAAGGGACTGTATGACTGTTTACATCAAATGCTTCGAAATAAAAACATATCGATAGAAAACATGGTAGGGTTTAGTTCAGATACCACAAACGTGATGGTTGGAGAACATTGCTCTGTTTTTGCTCTTCTTAAAAAAGATTTGCCTCACATTGCTCTGGTGAAATGTTCTTGTCACATGATACACCTATCATCATCTAAAGCTTGTCTTAAATTGCCTCGAAACGTTGAAGATTTTTTGCGTTCTGTTGGAGCTCACTTCAGTAGAAGTTCACAAAGACAACTAAAATTTAGAGAGTTTCAAGAATTCTTTCAAGTGGAGATTCACAAAATTCTCACACCAGCTCAAACTCGATGGCTCTCGCTGAAAGCGTGTATAGACCGTGTCTTAGAGCAGTATACTCCATTAAAAGCCTACTTGACAGAAACAGTCTTCTCAGATCCGTCGAAGACTACCGAAGAAATGCTGATTACAATGAACAACCAATTCACTGTGGTATATTTGGAGTTCATGTCTTACGTACTTGCACTGGTAACAAAATTCAATGTCTTGTTTCAATCAGAAACTTCCCTTCTTTACAAATTGAAACCAGAAGTCGAAAACCTTTTGAAAACGTTGTCTTCTAATTTCATGAAAATTAGCTATATCAAGTCCTGTGCTAATATTTTAAACGCAGACTTCAAAAACCCAACACATTTTTAAGTTTAAACGAAATATATATTGGATTAAAGGCTGGAGAAAGTATTGAAATTTTAAAAAATGACGAAAATGTACCTCGTGTTGCTATTGCAGATTTCTATAGAACCTACCAGGAGTTTTATATTGAATTGACGTCAGATATTACCAAGCGATTTGATTTTGGGGATCCTCTATTTTCTATTATATCCGCTGTAAATCCATCAGAAGCTCAACAGTTTCTAATTAAATCACTTGTGCCTGTGCTGAAGCGATTTCCAGTGCTTTATAAATTTGTGACCGCACAAAAATTAGATGACGAGTGGCGAACTCACGCTTTGTTAGATTTTGAGCAACATGGGCTTGAAATTCATGGAGATAACATCAATGCCGAAAGTTACTGGGGTAAAGTATTTCGCCTTAAAAATGCTGCGGGAGAATACATGTTTCCAAACATAAAAATTGTTATGTCTTTGTTGCTCATATTGCCATTTTCAAACGCGTCGGTAGAAAGAAAATTTAGTGCGCTTCGATGTTTAAAAACAGAAAATCGCAATCGGCTAAATACAGGTACTGTAGTGTCTTTAATGGCAACAAGAGAGGGTATAAAAAAATTGGGCGGCAGTGCCAAGTTTAATCCTTCCAACAAAATGCTTGCATCAAACGTTTGGAAAAAGTGCAACAAAGGTTAAAAAATAAATATTATTTAAATAGGTTAAACTTGTTTCATTGTTTAAAATAATATTGAGGGGAATTTGTGGGGAATCAGCAGATTTTTGTCCCCAAATTTGGGGAATTTCATATGGAATTTTGGGGAATTACATACATTGGCATTAGCAACCCTGAGTATAGTAGAAACCCGGAACAATATCCGTTCTATAGTTACGAAGATAACGTAGTCTAACGCAGCGTCGATTTTTGTTTTATATGAGGTATAAAGCTTGCGTTTAAGACGTAAGTATTACTTAATACATTTATTTATTATATGGAATTATATTAATATAATTCGTGTTAAAATGATACATAAATAGAATGATAAGTCTGCGTGCAGAATTTTTATCGATATATTTTGTCACACTGTCTTATTTCTATTATTAGTTCCATAAACGCTCAGCTCACATCCTCTTAGTAGTCTGTGATTCTGCTATCAGCGCCAAAATGACGAAAATCAAATTACCTCATTATGTAACGGTGTAAATCCAGTCAGTCCAGTCCAGCGTACTTATTTTCAGGTATACAAAAAGTACTCTGTGGTACTTGTTTAATAGAGGTTGGTGTTTAAAAACGATAAGGTCGGTTCGGAACGTCTCTTGACTACTACGTCTAAAAGTTGATTGTGCTGTGCAAAATGAGTCCGTATGGGTGAGCAAAATAAAGCTGTATGGGCTAGATACCTTTGCCTTTTCATGATGTTAAAAGATAACGTAGAATTTAAAATTATGTTAGGTTAGAAATTAGTAATACCTATTATTTGCAAAAATTAACTAGGTAGGAATTTAATACAAGAAATATAATTTAATAAATAAATAATAATTCAAGAAATATGCAATGATGCAATGGCTTCTATAACAGTAGGTGATAACATTATTGCTGTAATAAAGGACTTAAACATAGACTGCTACGATTATTCTAACCACAATATCGTTGTAGTTGAATCTAATGATAACAATGACAGGATTTCTGACATCATTATATCATATAATTGTAAATATTTAGCTGTAATAACATCAACCTCCAAGCAACTTATTGTGTATGAACTGCCTTTACTCACAAAAAAGAAACAGTATATACTTCCCAGGACTGGAAGTAAAATACGATTCTCAGCAAGAGGTGACCAAATATTTGTAGCTGACAAAAGTGGTGATGTACTTATGTATGATATAACAAAAGAAGATGATGGAATTAAACTCTTAGGTCATTTAAGTTTATTACTTAATGTTCTACAAACAAATAACTGTAAATTTTTAATTTCATCTGATAGAGATGAAAAAATTAGAGTGTCTTGTTACCCAAATACATATAATGTTCAAACCTATTGCCTTGGGCATAAAGAATTTGTGAATCATATAGAACTTTTACCTCATGATGATAATTATTTAACAAGTACATCTGGTGATGGCACTGTCAAATTTTGGAATTATGCAGAGGGAAAACTGTATTACAGTATCAATACATTCCTTGACATAAGTGATGAGAAACTAAAAGAAAATTTTGCCAAATTGATGATAGAAGATGGAATTGAAGTGAATACTTTGCCTATTGTACACTATGCAATTTCAAAACTAAATGATTCATGTAGCATTTTAGCTGTGGCTGTTCACACATTTAATCAAATACTCATTTATAGTGTTCACACAAGAAATCAATGTTTTGAACATAAACTACATGAAAAATTGGAAGTGCAACAATTCCCAGCTTCTTTCAAGTTTTATAATAATTGTTTGTTTGTGTATAATGCTGTTGATAGTAATGTTCAAATTTTTAAAATTAAATATGAAAAGTTAAGTATCTCACTTGAAATTGGTGAAAAAGTTCAAATGTTTTTGCATAACAAATTAAATGCTAATATTAATTTAGAAAATAACCTCTCAATTAAACTTTTATATAAAAGAAAATTTGACAGTGTACAAGAGTATCGAGAAAGAAAAAGACAAAGATTGGAAAAGGTATGAAAATTAAAAAGGTATAGCAGCAATATGCCATAGTGATTAAAGGAAAAATATTTTATAAAAATAATTGTTTAACTCAAAACTAATAAGTCTTCTAAGAGAAATAAAAGATTTTAACCAGGTATTTGTTTATTATTTTTACTTACATTTCAAACAAAAAAAATATTGAAGTGTGCAAGTCTGTAAATTGTACAAAAATAAATGAAATGAAAGTTCTCAACATTAAGAATCTAAGCCAAATTTTAATTAACACTAATAGAAAAACTAAATGTTACTATATCACAATTTTAACTAAACACAACAAATTAGGTTTTGAACTAGATTTTTGATTTTGATAGTTTATAGTATTGCTTTATTTTATTATGAGTGCAATATATGAACCAGACATGAAAGAATTCACAAATTTAATCCAACTTAAATTATATAATTTGTTTGTTAATAATTAACAATACATGTATGTATTTATTTTTACAATCATCATAACTTTCTAAATGCAATAAATACAATTTGGGTCTTTAAATAATTTTATCTAGAATTAAGAATATTAGCAAAGTGGCCAAGTTTAGGGCCAAGATCCATTGCATTCAGTACACTGTCTACCTCATTCTTGAGATCCATTAAATCTGGCAATTTATTGCAATCTGCTATATTAAGAAGAGTTGTGAATATTTTGTCCCACAATGTGACTTTCATGTACCTGAAAATTTCATTAATTAAAAAACTGTATGTAAAGTACTGTTACTTGAAAATGTGTCATATGGTTCAGAAACGTTTTTATACTGAAGATGGTAATCAAGTAGAGAAGAGTTTACCACAGCTTGTTCCAATGCACAGATTTCATTAAGAATTGGAATATTTTTAATTTTCTAATGAGATTATTGCAAGTTACTATTTTTTAACTGCAAATTAAATTAAGTTATTAAAAATAAGTGCTGAAATACATTTTATATTACACTTTAAACTTCCTGAATTAAGATAAATGGTAAATATAACTTTTGCTGAGTTACTTTGATATTTTTTTACTTTGGTTTTGATTGATTGCAAATGATTAGTATGTTTTAGTAGTAGTAGTAGTATTTATAGTAGAGGAAATCAGGTGATGAAGTTGATAACATTTAAGCAGCCATTTTGCTAATTTAGTTATTTTGCTGTAAGCATATTGCTTATGCCTAAAATGTTACATGTTTGTTATTACAGCTAGTTTTAGCTTTAGCTGTTGATTGTTGCTACTTGATATCATGATGCAAAATAAAATAGAAAGTTTTGTGATAAATGTGAATTGGACTGAAAAGGGCTGGTTATCTATTTTATTGATAATTAAATTAATCATTAACTATTAAAATAATGAACAATAATTGTTCTATTAATATAATTGAACTGAATTGAATATAATCTATAATTGTTTAAAAATCAAAGTTTGTTGATAATTATAATTATTAGGAAGAAGATGTACCTTGGTAGTTTTTTGTCAATATTCCATTGACCAAGACGATTGGCAACTTTCATATAGCTTCCCATCAAAATAACATGTATTGTACCAGCTAAGCAGTATAAATCTGTTTGGTAAGTCCATGGCTTTCCTTCCCTCATTTCAGTGCATGTGAATCCTTCAGTCGCAATTAACTAAAATGGAATAAATATATTTAGCTAAAAATTTCAAAACAAGTCACCTATTAAGATTCTGTGACTAAAGTTATTTTAATAAAGAATGATTATTATTAAATATCACTACTAGGCTTCGATCAACAATACCAACTAGATGTCGGGTCGACGCAAGAAATCCACCTCAGTAAATAAGAGCGCAGATGAGACGTGAGCTCTAGCACGTGAGAGTGTAGCTCGCAAGGCAATAACGGGAAAAACAACTTTATTTGTTATAACTTAAGGTTGATTGAACACTAAATGTTATTTAATTTATGTCTTTTCATAGTTTATATTCATGCGGACAGTATTTAACTATGATTTTGTACGTGACCCGTTATCTAGTTGGTATTGTTGATCGAAGCTACTAGGCTGAATGGAACAAGTTTTATGCTTATGTGCATGACAAAAATAAAAATAAAGACATCTGCCATTAAACCAGAGTTAACAGCATAGACCAACAAATCAGTAAGCTGCAGTAGCCATGGGCGGCCATATAGCTTGAAGCCAACAACCCGGAAAGTTTCTCAAGTGGCAGCCTTAGATGTTAAGACTTGAAGGGAGTGGAATTGGTGGGTCAGAACAGTGATTGTGGCAGTGAACAAATGTGATAACTTTTTATTAAGATGAAAAAGAAGGTCAGAAAAATCCAATCCCTGACAAAGAATATTAAAGTTTTATATCAGTTGTCAACAAGGTCAGCATAATAAATTCCTGTTTATTATGCAAGCGCTTACGGAGTGTAAGAGACATAAATTTGAAAATGTTGAAAAATCGACACCCTAGATCTAATCTTTATGTACTACATATAACTGTAATCACCAATATTCCTACTTTGCAGTGTCTTTGAATGTCACAATCCTAAGTAACTATGCGACTGTGATTAATGAGTCACAAATGACACTTTCTGAGATAATGCAAGTCTGCTCTGTGGTGAAGCTATAACATTTTGGCATTTGCTATAGTTTCAAAGAAAAAAATTAATTAATAACAGTGTTACAGTAATTACTTTCGTTTCATTTTCATTCAGTTTACGATGACATACAATAGATTATCTAGAGTCTATCAACATGGTCTGTCTAAGCCTTGACTTTTTTTCAAATGGTCCTTATGAGGTACTACAACTCAATTAGAAGTCAATCTGTCTCACTAATAAAATCAAGCAACCTTCCTATATATTTCACTCTATTATATATATCCTTACACTATGGTGAAGCCAATCTTTTAATTGAGGTACTTATGGGGTACTATCAACTCAACTTAAATGTCTTTCTGTCTCACTAATTCAAATCAAGCACCCTTACTATATATTTCACTTTATCATATCTATCCATCGCACTTACACTATGGGCTTGAGTTTTTTCAAATGGTCTTTATACTACAACTCAATTAAAATCTCAATCTGTCTCACTAATCAAATCAAGCAGCCTTACTATCTATTTCACTTTATTATATCTATCCTTACACTATGGTGAAGCTAATCTTCGAAATGAGGTACTTATGGGATACTATCAACTCAATTTAAATGTCTTTCTGTCTCACTAATTCAAATCGAGCACCCTTACTATATATTTCACTTTATCATATCTATCCATTGCACTTACACTACGGGCTTGAGTTTTTTCAAATGGTCTTTATACTACAACTCAATTAGAATGTCAATCTGTCTCACTAATAAAATCAAGCAACCTTACTATCTATTTCACTTTATTATATCTATCCTTACACTATCGTGAAGCTAATCTTCGAAATGAGTTACTTATGGGGTACTATCAACTCAATAATGTCTTTCTGTCTCACTAATTCAAATCAAGCACCCTTACTATATATTTCACTTTATCATATCTATCCATCGCACTTACACTACGGGCTTGAGTTTTTTCAAATGGTCTTTATACTACAACTCAATTAAAATGTCAATCTGTCTCACTAATCAAATCAAGCAGCCTTACTATATATTTCACTTTAATATATCTATCCTTACACTATGGTGAAGCTAATCTTCGAAATGAGGTACTTATGGCGTACTATCAACTCAATTTAAATGTCTTTCTGTCCCACTAATTCAAATCAAGCACCCTTACTATATATTTCACTTTATCATATCTATCCATCGCACTTAAACTATGGTGAAGCCGATCTTTGAGCATACAATAGTATTAATTATCATTGTATGAGTTTTTAATACGGTCCTTTTGCAAAAAGAAAATATTTTGATATGAAAACTGTGAAGCGTTGAATAATTTTTAAATCTTGACTAAATGGGCCATCTTCTAAAATGATATGCCCTGGGCATGATGTATAATAGTGCTTTAAAAAAGCCGACAAAATTTCTTTAAACAATGACTCATGACTTTATAAGTGGTAGAGCCATGCTACAGCTACATTATGGTTGTACCACAAATGGGTAATGGGTCGGCCCAACCAGGGTAGGACCAGGCTCAAATCAAAATACTAGCGTTAAATAGCAGTTCAATACTGCAATGTTTCGTACGGTAAGTGTAGAGAACCGGAAACCCCTTTTTATTGGAAAGGGAACATTCCATCTCAGTCCTCAGGGATGACAATGCATCTGCATTTTGATTTTCAATGAAGGATAAATTTAAATGTCTGGGCTACCGCATCCACTTTTTTATAGAAGAGGGGGCAAACGAGCATACGGTTCACCTGATGTTGTGACTACCGCAGCCCATGAACAACCGCAACACCAGGGGAATTGCAGGTACGTTGCCGGCCCTTTAGAAAGGAGTAAGATCTTTTCTTGAAGGTCCCCAGGTCGTATCGGTCCGGAAAAATCGCCGGTGGTAAATTATTCCACAGAGAGGTCGTACGCGGAAGAAAACTCCTAGTGAAACGTACAGTGGTGGACCGCCAAGCATCCGAATGGTGTGAATGGTATCGGGAGGTTTGCCGCGTAGTGCTTTCATGAAATTTGGCGGCTGGGATTAATCCGAACAATTCCTCAGAGCACTCCCCGCGATGAAATACGCAAAGAGATGCAACATCTCTTCGCAGCGCCAATGAATCAAGCCGATCGGAAAGCACTCGGTAGTCGACGACGCTGGATGTGGTCAAGTGGAAGGAGCTGGTACTGGGGAGCCCGAGCCCAGAGATGGAAACAGTATTCCATGTGCGGCCGAACCTGAGCCTCGTAAAGTTGCAGGCGGCGTGTTGGCATGAAATACTGTCCCGCTCTGCTTAGCACGCCAAGCTTTTTAGAGGCCAATTTGGCCTTCTCTTCCAAGTGACCAGGAAACTGCACGTCACTCGATATGTCGACGCCGAGGATTCCGATACTGACTGAGGCAACAAGGGGAATGCCTTGAAACTGAGGAGATACGACAAAGAAGTTCTTTTTTAACGCTTATTTTGATTATTATTTTTATAACGCTTGTTAATGCGCAAACTTATGTTTTCTGAGGGTTAAACTGGACTTTAGGCGCCCCCAATACGAGACTTTGTTCAGCAAAGACTCGACTTCTCTCGAATTTTGGTACGGTCGGTGTACAGAGCATCACTAGTGCTGTCATGTGCAATGAATGTTATAGGTTTGCAACATATTATTGATATGCAGAAGAAACAGCGTTGGTGATAGCACGCAGCCTTGTGGAACACCAGCATTAATAGCCTTGTAATCGGAGCTTGCACCGTCTACAACGACCTTGATGCTCTGATCTGCAAGAAAGCTGGTGAACCAATTGCACAATTTCTCGGTAAGTCCATAGGAAGGGAGTTTCGAAAGGAGCGCTTTGTGCCAAACCCGATCGAAGGCCTTCGCGATGTCCAAACTAACGGCCAATGCTTCCCCTTGGACTCTACTGCTGCCGCCCATCTGTGAGTCAGACCAGAAGACCACCGACTTCGACTACGACGGAAACCGTATTGGCCATCACTAATCAGCTGGTGATTCTCAAGGTAGGTAAGATTCCATTGTTTTGGAGAACAAGGAGGTGATGGCGATGGGCTTGTAGCTGGACGGGTCTGAGCGGTCGCCTTTTTTAGGGTACGGGTGGACGAAATCCGTCTTCTATGATTTTGGGACTACGCCTAGAGAGTAAGAGTACTGGAAAAGACGCGTTAAGACCGGTGCCAACTCTGGAGCACTCGTCCTCAGCACAATTGAGGGGATACCGTCAGGCCCACTCGACTTGTGGATGTCCAGGGAGAGGAAGCGAACCGAGCGCTGTGTAAACCGCATCTCCGGCATGGAGCACTCACACCGCGGGATGGTCGGCGGCGTACTCCCTCCGGCATCGAGGGTCGAATTGGACGCAAAGAAAGAGCCTAGCAGATCGGCTAGGCGGCATGCGGCATTACGACATGGGCCAGTGAGTCGTCCTACCTGTGCAGAGATGGAAGAAATGGCTGACAGAAATTCTCCTGGACAGCCTTGGCGAGAGACCAGAATGCACGGGTTCCAGAAGGAAGGTGAACTAGTTTCTCGCCAATTCTGCCTATGTACTCTGACTTTACCTTGCAATGACTCTTTTGAAGGACCTGGAGGCGGAATTATACTTCTTTTTTAGAGCGCTGATGTTCACATCCAGGGACGTTGACGCGTCAGCCCAGGCTTGGTAGCACTCCCGTTTATAGCATGATGCTATTTTACAGGAGCGATCAAACCATGGCTGAGATTTGCCTCCGATAGGCACTACAGAGGGAGGGATAAAAAGTTCCATACCCTGAAGTACCACATCAGCGACAGAATCAGCAACAACGTTGGGATCGTCCGGCTAGAAGCAAACTCGCCCCAAGGGTAGGATGCAAAGGAAGACCGCATCCTATCGCAATCGGCTGACCTATAGTGCCAAACACGACGGCAGCTTGCAGAATGCAACCGCGATTTAAGCATGAGTGGCACCACGCTCCGTACAAGACAATGGTCCGAGGGGCCTAAAGGGGCGTTGACGAAAATCTGATATCCGTCCGGATGAGGGGTCAGCAGAAAGTCCAACAGGGAAGGCGTATGGTCTTCCACATCTGGAATCCGCGTAGGCGCAGTAACCAGTTGTGTCAGACCACAAGGCAAACTCCAGCCCGAGGCACAAAGGAGTGTTCCAGTTTGTACCCTGGGTAGGAGAGATTAGAATGAAATCCCCTGACATTGCAGAAATTCACGGATAGCGTGGCAGGGGTCACCTTGGTCTTGTTGCTCAGTTTGCTCCGAGCAGTTGTTGTCTTGAGCGGATTTTAATTTTTTTACTTAAGAAACAACACTCTTTTGCAGTCACAAATTGTTGTTTGTGACTGCAGCTCAGATGAAGTAAAAAAAGGTAGATATCGCACCTAGAACAAAAAACTATACTTAACCAATTTTATAACTTTGTGTGAGTTAGAAAAGTGTTGCCACTTTTTTTAAAAGTCCCTGAAAATCGAGATACAATACCACAACTATAAGAGCAATATGCGATGTGAATGCGAAAGTATATCCGTCTGTTTCAATAAATTTCAACAATTTGACAATTCAAAAAAAGATGAAGCACGTAGGAGGCATCTGTAGATCATTTAAGTCTTCTTGATAGATTCTCCAGTGAGCATGTAAGCATCTATAAAATATACAACAACAATGTATGTAATGTAAAACATGTTTATTATAAAAAATAACTTAATACTGAAAAAAACTACTTGGACTAAAAAATAAATTTCCATGGAATTAAAAATATACTTTTCTAAATAAAAAAAGTATATTTTAGTAAATACAAAATAGAACAAACTCCAGCCGGGGGCACAAAGAAGTGTTCTAATTTGTACCCCGGGTAGGAGAGATAGAAGTATCAGCCGGAGAGGGCACTTGAGTCTCGGTTAAAAAGAGCAACGCCGGCTACGCTGTCTCCGGGTGGTAGTAGACAGCATTAAGATTGGAATGAAGTGTCCTGATGTTGCAAAAATTCATGGATAGCGTGACAGAGGTCGCCGCAGTTTTAGTCGTGAGCAAAATTCCCCCATCCCTCCCCCAGATTACGCGGAGCAGCCTAAGCACCGACACTCAGTCAGGGAGAGTAAAGTAACTTAGTCGTGGATGCTCAGCGAGGGATTCTCCGTCACCAGGAGTGAGGGTACCCTATTGGGGTAGCTTTTATTTGATTCCGGTACGATGTTACGGGGGAGGAGGAATTGGGCCAACCCAAGCGAAATGCAGAGGTAAACCTCTACTTCACGCAGGTATTCTGTGAGGTCGTGTTGCTCCAGCTCAAGTTGATCCATCCATGCGACATCAATAGCCGCTGTGTGGCTCTACCACTGTCAAGTCAAAAGGATGGCTGCCATTTTAATTCATTTCAGCTCAGTCTTATAGCAGCTACCCTTATTTTTTTATAGGATAGGGTGACAAACAAGCATACAGTCCACCTGATGGTAAGTGTTTTTGTTGTGGCCTATAGACATCTACATATATTCTCAATTACGAATCAAAATGCAGATGCGTTGTCACCCGTGAGGACTAAGATGGAATGCCTCGTTTCCAGTAAAAAGGGTCTCCGGTTCTCTACACTCACCATACGAAACACAGCAGTATTAAGCTACTATTTTACGTGTGGTCTTTCCCCGATCGAGCCGACACATTCGTGCTATAACTTTACTACTAATAGTATAACTGCAGCATGGCTCACCACGTAAAAAATTCATATCTTATTAAAATATTCGTTGGTAGCCTAAAATCATGAATATTTTTTGATAGTAAAATAGTTTTTAAGTACTCAACAATTAAAGCAGAAACATCAGCTACTTAAAAATTAAATATTTACCTTGACTTCAATTTGATGTAACATAATTACGACTAATTAAAAAAAATATGCTGACTACACATATTTTTATAACTTAGCCTAAAATCAATTACCCAAATCTTGGATCATTAGAAATAAGAAATACTGGCAACATTCTCCCGTTACGTACTCTCGAAACATTGACATTCGTGCTTCGAATAACCTTCAAAATTGTGTTGGAATAACAAATTAAAATATAGTTTAATGAGTGTTTAGGAGTGAAACGATATTGCTTCAGACGTTTTTGCATCATTTAACAACATAGGGCGGCATTTTTAGTCAATTTTACTGCACGGCGCCCCGGGAAGTACTGAGCGAAAATGAGCGTAGTTTGATGCATGTGTGTGCGTGAACGCGTGTGCTTACATAAAGGAGCGGAGTTTTTTGGCTTCACCAATAACAAAGGATACAGCACGTATCTACCTTTTTTTACTTCTTCTGAGGATTGCAGTTAATAACATCGTTATTTAAGATATTATGAAGAAAAAAATACTGCAAAATTGAAGAACTGTGATTGCAGTACCTAAAGATGGATTGCTGTGGAGTGGTCCAGGGTGTCTGTCGGTTTTTAACTTTTCAAAATTATGCCTATTATTACTTAACAAAGTGGCATGGATATTTTCCTTATTTTTACCAGATCTGGTGTAATCTAACCACCTCTCGCCCAGTTTCCCACTTGACATTGAGTTTCGTGGAAACATGTATATTATTAGTGAAATTGACTAAACAATATGCTTAATCAAATTAACTATCCAAAAAACATTGTCTTGAAATCGTCGATGGGTCCAATCCATCCAATTTATATTTTGTCATCAATATCTCACAGTGTTATATTTACTAACCTCTCTAAATGTTGTACCTTCTGGAAATAAGGACATGTCTATTGCACAACCAAAGTCAATTAATTGCAGAGATGGAGTCCTCCATACTTGAGTAGGGCTGTAAATAAACCATAAATATATTACATTGATTAAGGGAGCTTACTAAATTGTATCTATATAAAGGTATAATAAAGTATTAATAAAGTTCATAAACTCACATATTCATAAGTAAGAAATTATCAGGTTTTATGTCTGCATGAATAATCTGTGCTTTATGAAGATAGTGTACTATAGAAAGTATTTCAGACGTCAGCAAGATAACAATGTCTTCACTTATACATTTTGAGGTAGCAATTCTAACTTTGTTGGCAACATCCAAAAGAGACCCATATTTTGAATATTCTGATACAAATAAACTTGCATTATCACCTAAGAAAGCAGTTGTTATATCCATGTAGCCTGGAAGCTGGCAAAGAAAAAAAAGTAGTTACATAGTATATCCTTCATATATTAAAAACTAGAAAATTAACGTCTTCTCTTACAAATACCTACCATAAATGGATCTTTAATTCTCGCTTTTATTTCTTGGCAGATGTAAAACTCCCATGGACGACTAGGTTTTTGATACTTAATAGCCGCCGATTTACTTCTGTTCACGTCCGAGCATAAGAACACGGCACCATAATTCCCTTTACCCAACTGTTTTTCAATAGAAAATTTGTTACTACCAACACTTATCATAGTAGATATTTGTAATTTTGGGATGGATCGTACTTCAATATACCCTTCAGCATGAGTTTTATTAGGAAATTTAACATACTCCAATAGTGAAGCTATAAGCTTCTTGTTAAATGGATCAATCTTCTTTGGGAAATCAATATCTGCTGGTCTTGGTATGTCACTGGTTTCCACTAAAGAAATAGAGTGTGTAGATTTGAATGCTGCACATTCCATAGAATTCTCACTATCTACATCCATTCCATACCCATCTGATTGGAAATCAGATTGTCTTGAATAAACAGACGAGATCCTGCTGTCCTTACTGACAGAATCTCGGCTATCTTCCGATTGAGTTTCGACTCTTTGCTCAAAGTCTAGTTGTCTCTTGGATATATCTTTTTGCTTTTCAATACTGTGAGATACTTTAGCGGATTGGATGGGTGTAGCAGTTTGAGCTGTCATACCATCTTTACTGTCCGAGTCAGACATACCAGATGAAGGAGGTATTTGCGCCTGCTCAGGGCTTGAAACATATAGATTCTTATGCATCTTTTGTGAAATACTGGGACTGTTAGTAAACTTAGGGGTGTTGGCGTTGTCTTTAGGTTCATTACGATTAGAAATAAAGTTAAGGAACTGATTTGAAAATCCTATGTCAGAAGTGTTTTGACTATGTTTTACATTAGGTTGGTCATGCCTAATGTTTCTTAAAGCAGAAGGACTCTTTCGCGAGGCTGAATTTTTGGACTGCGAACTCTTGTTGTTGCTACAGTTTTTATCAACTTCTCCAGATTCTGGACCTCTCAAGGATACATCGTTCGGAGTATCTTGTCTCATTTGTTCTGTTTCTTGAATCATACTGTTGTGTACTGCAGCATTTCTGTAATTGCTTTGAGAAGTCTGTGGACTTTGGTAAATCTGAAATGACTGATTGTTTGCCATTTGATTGCTTGCAATGGCATATGCAGAAGAGTTATTTTCTATGTTTTGTTTTGGTGACTGTCTGTATGCTGTCTGTACTGTACTAAAGTTTGGATTGTTAAGATGTTGGTTAGGACTGCCATAAATATTTCCACCTGTATACTGGTTATGTATATTGTGATAGTTTTGTTGGTTGTAAACTTGGTTTTGTGCTGTTATTTGACTTGGCCTTTGATAATATTGTGTGTTTTGATACTGAGTTTGATGTGGAGGGCTTTGGAATACAGCGGGTTGCTGTGGTGATTGGTTAGCGTATATATGCTGTCGTTCGGATTGACTAGCATAATGATACTCCTGTCTATTTGTATATCCATGTTGAGGACTCATCATGACATGTCCTGGGCTATGGTATCCCTTTTGATTTGAATAGGTGGGACTTTGGAAACCTGCTGGAACAGGTGCATTAACTTCATGAGGACTCTGCATACCAGGGTGTTGTGGACTGTGATAGGCATTTGAGTTAGGAGTTTGATAGTTCTGCTCCTGTTGTGTCATAATTTGGTTGTTTGCATATGTCTGTTGGTTGTAGCTGAAGCCTTGTTGGTATTGATTATGCATTGATCTTTGTTGCGTAAATCCATTGTAAGTAGAAGGACCCGATTTTTGATACTGATGGTCATGGGATTGATAAGGCACTGATGTAGACGGAGGCACTGGTTTATTTTCTTGAGATTCCCGCTTCTGTGGATAAATCCGTGAAAACTGTCCATTAGGTAGTCTGGGTTGCGTGGATACAGAATTTCTCTTGGTAGCAGTACCCTGCTGTGATGGATCGTTGTGATTATTGTACATAGAATCGTAATTAGTAGTATACCCTGTGAAGTTTGTTCTTATCGATTGACCCGATGAACTTGACCCTGATTTACTGGAAAAAATATTTTATCATTTTCAAAGTAGATTCATAATTTCTCATTACACTGTCTCGAGAACTATTACCATAAAATAAAATAAATGTATGAAGCATCCTGCAAGTTATGGCTGTTATTTACTACGGATTTTTTTTTAAAATAATCATGAATTATAATCCAATTTTTGTCTTCGAGTATCTTTAAACAACACTAGAAAGTTTTAAAACTGTAGTAAAATATAATTTTTTTGAGGTTTGCACTAATATCTTACCTATTATATTCTCTAGTTGCCTCCATTATAACAGATAATCCAGCGCCTTGATTTTCAACAGTAGCATGTTGGTCAGTTGTATGTTGGTCAGTCGTATGTTGGTCAGTTGTATGTTGGTCAGTTGTATGTTGGTCAGTCGTATGTTGGTCAGTTGTATGTTGGTCAGTTGCATGTTGTTGTGAGTACTCATCCCTTTTTCCAGTGGCATGATCTGAATGTTCAATAACACTTTCATCCATAATAAATTTTGGCACTGAAGGGTATTTATTTGACTGGTCAATACAGCCGGATGGCTTTTTGAACTGTAACATATTTGGTGTGCTCGCATCCTTTATATTAAAATTAAACACTTGTGTGCAAGAAGGCTCTTCATAATAAGCAGTTTTGTTTACCTGTAATCAACAGTGTAGATTTCATTATGACTATATTTAATAATGTGAAAGGTATAAATGGATATAAATATTCACCATAAGTCACTTTTTTATAAAATAAAATACGATTTATATGTCTATAGAAGAAGACAACCAAACAGTTCACCTGATGGTAAGTAGCTATTGCAGTTTTTGAACATCAACAAACAACTTTAAACAAAGAAGGCTACAGACGTGTTGTCACTTCGGAGAACTAACATGAGATGTCTCACAGCCTATAATTGGCTGCGTTTGGCAGAAAAAAGCGCTAGGAAGCGCGTGTAAGCAAAATGGCGATCGTAAGCGGTAAGCGCTGTCAAATCGTAAGTAGCTATTTTCCTCTAGGACACGAAGTTAGCTTTAACCGGGGAACCTAACCTAATTTAAATATATGTTTGTAAAGTATTCATATTAAAAACTTACCAATCATGAATTTTTAATAACATGTATAATATGTTTATTCATGTCATTATATTACTTGAAACTAATATTGCACAAAACAACTTATAAACTCTACTTCAAAACAAACAAAGTAAATAAGCAAAATGGCGGATTGTGTCAGCGCTACTGAAGTTAGCAAACGTGTCCTGGCCGAAAACTGTTTAGTTTCGCCATTTTGCTTACAAGCGCTTCCTAGCGCTTTTTTCTGCCAAACGCAGCCAATGACTGGCTATACCGTTCAAACCAAAACACAGCAGTGTGCATACTGCTGCTTTACGGCATAAATAGGAAATAGTTGCTCTATTTGCATTGCTCTATATCTATACTGTATAAATGATTTTTCAGTTACAGTGTAATATACGGCAAACTACTTCTTTAAGTACTTAAAATTAATAAGAATAACAATGTTATACTAGTGTCATTACAATACATAAAAATAAAACTGAAGTGTCTGTCAGTAATATTGCAATACGCCACTAAGACGTGAATTTTTTCTGTCTGTCGGTCCGAACTTCACGAACAGATAGAGTAATGCTAGGAGTCATCTAGGCTATTATTATCCTAAAAACTTGGGAGATTTCTTTAAAAATGATTATCTTAAATCTAAATAACGCCACATTAATAGATCCTACCCAGCCAGGCTGATCGCTAGTCAGTCTACAAAATACTACTGCTGAATGGTAGCTTCTCCAATTGCAGTATTTGTCGTAACTACCACACTTAGCAGCACGCTTCGGTTGGTGATTACAGTATCAGATGTCTAGTTTTTTTTTAATAGAAATAGGGTAACAAACGAGCACACAGTCCACCCGATAGAAAGTGGATGCTGTGGCCCATAGACATCTACATTTAACCTCGATAAAGAATCAAAATGCGAATACGTTGTCACCTCTGAGTACCGAAATGGAATGTCTTGTTTCCAGTAAAAAGGTTCTCCGGTTCTCTACACTCACCAAACGAAACACAGCAGTGTTGAGCTGCTATTTTACGTTGGTATTCTGTGAGAGCGTCGTTCTACCTGGGGCGAGCCGACCCATTGGTGCTACAACCATAATGTAGCTGCAGTGAAGTTCTACCACGTGAAATAGTACTTTAGACGTTAATCCCCATTGCCAGGCTGATTTTACGTTTAGGCTTAGCACGCACTGCGATTAAACGCGAGCGGTTTAGGAATAGCTGAAAACGCAAAACCGCATACAATCACGCACTGCGGCTGGATTTTCGCTTAATTTTATGAAATAAACTCGCTACTCACCGCCATGGATTTTAGGTGAGTACAGTACCGCCATGGATTTTAGGTGAGTAGCGTGTGTTGTGGCTTTGGTTTTTAAATTAAAAAATAAAAAACGTAAACAACGGCGCTGCCATAAGTACTAGGTACATCCACTAACAGATCAGACATCTGTAAGGATACTTTGGCAGAATGTACAACGACGTGCAAAAACATCCCGACAAGTTTTTTAGTTACTACAGAATGTCGATTGGTACTTTTGATAAATTATTACAAGCTGAATGAAAAACCGAATGCGGTTAACCGCAGTGCGTGCGCCGCCATACTATTACTATGGGACACATAAAAATCGCGCGCTTACAAAACAGCGATCCAAATGTAGCAAGTTACGTTTTTAAAATCGGCCACTGACAAAAGTCGCTAATGCGTGCGCTTGTATAGAAAGCTATGTGTTATATTTTTTTTTTCGGTTTTAAATGTGCGGTTAAACGCTTGCGTTTAATCGCAGTGCGTGCTAAGCCTTATACTGGATGGTCTGTCATTCACCCATAGATATCATTAATCAGTAGCCATAGGCTTTCTGACTTTTCCCAAAGTCCCCTCTTATAACACTCACGAGACAAAATGAGGTGATAGATCTATGGCTATCCATCCCTTTTGATGGATCCATAGCTATTTTTACACTTAATTTTTTTATGACCCTTATTAATTATATTTCTAATGAACACCCAAGGGTATGAATTATTATTTCTTCTAAATTATTATAACATACCTGTTGAGGGGCATTTACTGTAGGAGGAGGATTAAATTGGATAGCGTTTTCCTTGTCTTCTGGCATGTTTCTTACATCAGCAATTTCAAAATTCTTTTTGGTATTAATAGCCATAGTGATTGACCTATCTTCATGGATATCAAACTTTGGCACATCAAACTGTTGAACCACTGGTTGCACTATAGACGCCTCTATATAACCCAAAAGTAATATAAGATAAAACAAATATTTTTACAGATCAACAAAAATATGCATTGATATTTACCATTATCATTGAATATGTTTCTGAGTTCCCACCGCGCCTCCTTTGTATTAACTGTTACAGAGTCACCAAGTAGGTTGCCCATTAAACTTTTATTGAACTCTTCCATCAAGTTGTTTTTAGGATAATTTTCACACGCATTATCTGGAGTGAAATTGTTACAGGAAGTGTTCATTTTCTCCACTTGATTTTCTTTGTCAGATGAAGAGGAAGACGACTTTTGGTTATCATCATTTCTCTTAACATCATGCTCACTCAATTCTTTGGAATCCAAATTAACTAAGACTCTAGGTTCACCAGGCGAATGCATATTTGTCACTTTGGTGATATTTTGTAGAGAAGGTATTGATAAAGGCATAAGCTGCCCTAAATGATCTTGTTCTGTGTCTAAAGCGCAGTTAGCTAGAGTTTCTAAGGCACTACATTGTGCCAGAGCCTCATTTACATTGTATCTCTGTTGCATATCAACATTTTCTACACTTGCAGTCTTAGGTTTCTTTTCCAGGTTATATTTCCTTGATCTTATTTCTTCTAAACTGTATTCTATATCACTTACATAAACCTGTAAAGGTAAATTATTATAAACTTGATAAGAATTTATTAATTCACTATTATCCACTGCTGAACATAAGCCTCCAACATAGATTGTCTGGTAGTGAGATAATTTTGAATTGTTATCAAGACATTGCTGCCAGTCGCCTACTTCATTTCCCTCTGTCGCCTCTTAGGATCCAATTGGTGGTAGCCGATTGTCTTATGACGCCTAACTGCTAGTTCTATACCGCAATTTGCGCTTTATGATTGAAATGAAATCTAGTTTATATTCTAAATGTTACAGTCCAACCCTTTATCAATTCTGAGTGGGATATGAACAATATGTCCCACGCGATGCTCCAGTGCGTGTTGACGGATACCACTTGTCCTCAAAATATTTTATTCCCTAGACATGCAGATTTCTTCACCGCCGAGCACTCGGTAAAACAGCACTTAAAATTGTAAATTAACAATTTCATTGGACACCAATTGTATTGAGGTAAGGGTATTGAATTAAGGTTGCTCATGGCCATTGTCAATGCCAATATACAACGGCTCCGTGGCGCAGTGGCTTAGCAATTAGTTTAAGCGCTAAGGGCCGCGGGTTCGAATCCCGCACGGAACAACTATTTGTATGGCCTACAAGTAATTGTTCCGGGTCTGGATGTTTGTCCTTGTGAAATTTATGTTTGTAAACTGCCTCCACGATACAGGAGAAAATCTTAGTGTGGAGGTAACGTTTTTAAAAAAGAGAGAAAAGAGAAGAGAATAAATGTACTGTAAATTATTACAACGAGCTCTATACCCCTTAGTTGCCACGGCTCTTAGTTTATGCATTTTAAATCTATTCAAATTCTTTACTTATATTATAAAATATAGGAATTATGTATTTACCTCTGCTTTATTATAACAAGGAATTTTTGTCGGATCTGTGGGGTCAGGTACACATAGAGGCACATTAAATGTCAAGTCATCCATACAATATGGGGAGTGGTTTGGTGGTAGCCTCAAGACATCATCCTCATCTTCATAAGCTGTTTAAAAATAATCTCATTAGTAAGTGATATGATTTAACAGGATTTTAAGTCGAGTAATTGTATAAACTGACAAAGAAAATACAAATTACTATATTACAGATATTTAAGAAACCGACGAATGATGCTTGATCAGAACGGCGACAAGCTTCTCCAAGTTCACGATAACTAAGCCAAACACTTACTTTTACACGTATGTGCTTATGGAAGCCGTAGGGATAAGGAGAATGAGCTCCTAGTAACCTTTTATCTGCATGCGACAGGCGGCAGGGTCGTCCTTGATTTTAAGATGATAACTTTTAAGATCAGGGGCGGTTCTGACGCGGTAGTGGAGCCTGAACTGCCCCAACTCCAATCCCCCAGCCCTCCATCTCGAGGGGTGAGACGTCATCAGTGAGGGTGACTGAGACCCAAGACGCAGATCTCGCCTCGGGTTGAAGGCTTCCGCTGGTGTCGGCTAAGCGTAAGGGAAAGGGAGGAGGGAGCGACAGAAAGAAAGGTATGGTGGGGGTCAAAAGCGCCAGTAAAGGACGTATTCGTCCTCAGCACGCGAAAATGACCCCGAATGAAAATTGTGGTGGGTTGTGATGCTAACCGAATATAATAAAGAAATTAGGAAAGCCAAGAGAGCATCGTGGAGGCAGCTATGCAAGGAAGTTGAGTCTGCCTCGTGGTGCAAGACTATACAAAATGCTATCGAAAGCTACACCCAATCACATCGGGCTTCTGAAAAAGCCTGATGGTAACTTCACTACTCGTGAAACAGGAACACTGGAGTTACTAGCGTCAACCCACTTCCCAGGGTCACAAAAGACTTTTGCCTTGAACTCTTTCAGAGGTAGGGCTCTGTAATGAAAGCCTTGTAATGAGGACTGGTGTAGGGCTGCAAAGCTAATAAGGCCATACCTGGTGCAGTGGGAGTTAATATCCTTTAAACCATATAAGACAAGCGGGAAGGATGGAATAATTCCCATCCCATTACAGAGGGGTATTGATATCCTTCTTCTTTATCAAGTGAAAATCTTCAGAGTAAGTTTTGCATGGGGATATATTCCAGAAGGATGGACAATATACAAAGTTCTATTTATACCTAAGGCTGGTAGAAAGGACTATGCTTTACCAAAATCCTTTAGACCTATAAGCCTATTTTCCTTTTCTTCTTAAGACACTGGAAATGGTTATAGATAGATATTTAAGGGATATAGCACTAGCTACGAGGCCCATATATTACAACCAGCATGTTTACCGCAGAGGCAAATCAACGGAAACAGCCCTGATCAGTGTTATTGACAGGGTCGGAAAAGCACAGGAGTATGAAGAAATAGCTCTTTGTGTCTTTTTATATATTGAGGGCGCCTTCGACAGTAGCCTCGTTTCCAGTAAAAAAGGGTCTCCGGATAGCTACACTCACCATGCGAAACACAGCAATATTAAGCTGCTATTTTTCGTTGGTATTCCGTGAGAGCGTGGTCCTTACCCGTTCGAGCCGACCCATTCGTGCTACAACCATAATATAGCTGGAGCGTGGATCTACGACGTATAAACGTGCTTTAAGTACTTGCAGTCGTTTGGTTGGGAACAACTGGGGCTTGTGTCCCAGTATGATTATATGACTATACAAAATGCTATCGAAACTAAACCCAATCAGATCGGGCTTCTGAAAAAGCTGATGGTAACTTCACTACTCGTGAAACAGGAACACTGGAGTTACTAGCGTCAACCCACTTCCCAGGGTCACAAAAGACTTTTGCCTTGAACTCTTTCAGAGGTAGGGCTCTGTAATGAAAGCCTTGTAATGAGGACTGGTGTAGGGCTGCAAAGCTAATAAGGCGAAACCTGGTGCAGTGGGAGTTAATATCCTTTAAACCATATAAGACAAGCGGGAAGGATGGAATAATTCCCATCCAATTACAGAGGGGTATTGATATCCTTCTTCTTTATCAAGTGAAAATCTTCAGAGTAAGTTTTGCATGGGGATATATTCCAGAAGGATGGACAATATACAAAGTTCTATTTATACCTAAGGCTGGTAGAAAGGACTATGCTTTACCAAAATCCTTTAGACCTATAAGCCTATCTTCCTTTTCTTCTTAAGACACTGGAAATGGTTATAGATAGATATCTAAGGGATATAGCACTAGCTACGAGGCCCATACATTACAACCAGCATGTTTACCGCAGTGGCAAATCAACGGAAACAGCCCTGATCAGTGTTATTGACAGGGTCGGCAAAGCACAGGAGTATAAAGAAATAGCTCTTTGTGTCTTTTTATATATTGAGGGCGCCTTCGACAGTAGCCTCGTTTCCAGTAAAAAAGGGTCTCCAGATCGCTACACTCACCATGCGAAACACAGCAATATTAAGCTGCTATTTTACGTTGGTATTCCGTGAGAGCGTGGTCCTTACCCGTTCGAGCCGACCCATTCGTGCTACAACCATAATATAGCTGGAGCGTGGCTCTACGACGTATAAACGTGCTTTAAGTACTTGCAGTCGTTTGGTTGGGAACAACTGGGGCTTGTGTCCCAGTATGATTATATGGCTGTACAGCAATGAAGCCGATTCTAACCTACGCCTCCACTATCTGGCTGGTGTTTGTTACACAAACCAAAACACAACTGCGGACAGACTTAATAGTCTACAAAAGATTGTCTGCTTAACTGGAGCGATGCGATCATCGCCTGGAGCGGCTCTTAATGCACTTCTATGCCTAACGCCCCATGATCTTTATTTTACAAGGAGAATTACAAGGAGGCGAGTGCTAGTTTGTATAGGATTAACGCCCAGGATGGTTTGAGGTTGCTTTCCTACAGATTGAGATCTATACTAGACTCAATAAGGAAACACCGGTCTTATTCATGATCTCAGATATCATATCACGCGACCGCGATACACTTTTAACAAAAGTATATAGTGGAACTACCCTCCATAGAAGACTAGCTGAATTGCTCGGTAGCCTCATATGGTATACCGATGGGTCAAAAATGGAACTCGACGTAGGCTTTGGAATTTATGGAGAATGCCCCAAATTCAAACTTAGTCTAAATTTGGGTAGATTCACCTCTAGATAGAGGTGAATCTACCCAAATCTGGAAGATTCCAGGGAAAATTTTTCGCCATACTTCAGTGTGCGGAAATCAGATCGATTTAAATATAAGCAAAAGCACTACGCCAACCATATAATTTATATAAACTCTGATAGTCAGGCAGCACTGCTAGCGCTGAGACTGAACTTAGCGAACTCGAAGCTAGTTGGAGACCGCGTGAAACGTTTAAACACCCTGGGATGTAACAATAGTCGTCTTAAGATGGGTTCTGGGTCCAATAGTCAAAGTCAAAGAGTCACAATTTGGACCTGAGTCATTTTGTGGAATCTCAAAAAGCCTAGCCCGATTGACCGTTGAAACTCTTTATCATAATAATTCACTTAAGATCTGGTCAGACATACCAGGTTTAAAACATTCTAAAACCATAATCCGGGCTTTTGTTCGCAAATTCGCTTCAGAAGCCCTGGGCTTTAATAAAAATAAATTGCGCATTCTGACAAGAGCCCTAACTGGACACTGTTGTCTTAAAAAGCACATGTCCATCCTGGGACTAAGCAACTCAAGGATGTGTGGTTCTGTGCGCAAAAGTAACACTCATCTGGGAAAATATATAATCCGATTGCTCACAGTTAAGCAATTCGTTCTATTCATTGAAGACATTGGGCTTAGCAGTGAACAATAGCCATGGCAGCAATCACAATAGATCTTTTAGGTTGCAGTGATACTGGTCTCTTCTTAGACTTGCTTAGCTGCTTTTTTCTATAGGATAAGGGTGACAAACGAGCACACATACCTACCACCTGAGAGTAAGTGGATGCTGTGGCCCATAGACATCTACATTTAACCTCAATTAAGAATCAAAATGCAGATGCGTTGTCACCCTTGAGGACAAGATGGATTGCCTCGATTCCAGTAAAACAGGTCTCCTGTTCTCTACACTCACCATACGAAACACAGCAGCCTTATGTTGCCGTTTTACGCTGGTATTCCGTGAGAGCGTGGTCCTTCCCCAGTCGAGCCGACCCATTCATTCATGCTACAACCATAATTTAGCTGCAGCGTGGCTCTACCACGTATAAAATCTCGCATATAATTAAAAAAAATATCGAAGCACGCCTCGACTTGGCAAATGTGTAAAGCCGGCATCACTGCTCGACTAGCTTGAGTGAACTTGGAGAAGCTTGTCACCATTTCGATCAAATGTCGGTTTTTGAACACAAAACGCTGACAAGTGATCATTCTCGTATAAGTTGCGTTTGTACGTCGTTAAAAGAAAGGTAGAATATTTATTGGTACCTGATATTCAGAATCAAATTACATTTTATATTTGAATAATTTCTGCTTCATTGTTCTTAAAATTCTACTATGAGGTGACAACGTTGTTTCTTTATTTTAAAGACATACAAACATTTATAATTTTTTAATTCACCCAGAGAGTTATCAAATGTGTATGTGTATGATAGTTCAAGAGAATAAATTTTCTCACAAAGAGCATTTATACATATCAGGCAATATCAATTATCCTTCCAATGAGAAAACATGATTTTTTTCCAGTTATTTAATATGTGGCGCCATGTTATTAAGAATAATTAAATAATTTATACTAACGTGTAAATGGTAATGGTTGATGTGGTACAACATTAGTGTGAACCATTTTTGTCTTAGGATTTGTCCACATCCCAATTTCTTTTTCATTCTCGACGTTACTACAAGCTTGAACTAAAGAAGCTGGCCCAGGATCTTCCGCAACCGGAATCGCAACGCGCGATGTAGAAGGAGTATCCTAGTAAAAATCAAAAACGGTATGTTTTGATATTACAAATGGTAAAGTGTGTGTTAGGACCCACATAAGGTAGGGTTCAGCTGTGCAGTTTGTCTCTAATATTTTTAAACCTTTTAATGTTAGCGTGATACCACACAATGACATAAGGCGGCTGCATGGTGCCGCACTGCAACAATTAAGCAGTGTGACCGATACGGCCGGCGCAACGTCACAGCTCACAACGCCCTATAAATCAATCTTCACACCAACTTTTGCTAAATTCAAATGTACCCGAGAGATTTAATACACAATCAAAGGAACAAAGGATTGTTTCCAACAAGTATAAATAAATAAAATGTATTTTAAAATCAGTTCTTTTTTTTTTCTTTTTTTTATTATAATTTTTTATCAATTTTTTTAAACACTAAAATTCAAAATTAGAGCCTTAACTTTCACTCTAATTATTCTATGTGTAAACAAAAGAAAACTGGTAATCTTTATCTTAGTTTCGTTTAGTTTACGACAGGCTGTTTTCCGCAACTCCACGTCTAAGCGTGTATTTTGCGTGTGGGCAGGAATAATGTGATTATTCGAGCCATGAAATCTCCCCGGAGAAGTTCAACAGTCCTTTGATGTTGCAAGCAACTTCGGGGAGATCCCGACATGCCGAGATGTTTAGCCCAGTCTGAGTTTTCTTAAAATTATAACTGTCAACATACAGTAATTTACTTTATCAAAGTGATATTATGATTTTATATAAAAACCTGAGCAGGTCAGCCTCCACACGGCAGTACCCATTCACAAGTATAAAGCTATCTCCTTGAGATTGTCCAACTCAACCATATTAAATAAAAGTAAACCATTTGTTACAAAAACAACGCCACTGCTAAAAACAAAGAGCTTAATGGAACAAGCAGTTAAGAAATGTATAATTTCTTGGAAGGAATTAAAATAAAGTAGAGTTGAAGTGCAAAGCTATATACTCTACACTATAATATAACATCTTAAGTAACTGAAAGATATGGCTATAATTGTGGCTGCGTTAAGAGTAAGAAAGTTAAAAAAAATTACCTCATACACATTAACCATGATGTTTGAATTAGGCATCCTACTATCTGAACTTCCAGGCTGTTGCCTTACTACCCCTGGCACAAAACTTCTTATGCTCTCTCCTACTCTTTGAACTGGCACACTAGCAATATTGCGCCTTTTAAATGACTTCAGTGATGTAAGTGCCATTCTTGTTTCAGCCAGAGCAGATGCTGCCTTCCTTTTTGTTGGAGAATCATCATGCAACATTCTTTGGGCAAAAAATAACTGGAAATTCCTAGAAGAGAAAAACGAAATATTTTTGTTGTATCAACAGTTTTATTACATCACAAGTCAAACAAACAAGAAGTAATTTTTATGGATTGTACAAAAAAAACTAGATATATTTTTTTACCATCCACTTTTTTCATTTGTTAATTCTTACTAAAAAAAATATTAATAAAAATAATTTTACACTAACTAGCAAAGCTCATTTATTTAGTAAAAGTAATGTAAAATATAAATCAATACCTTCCATAGGTATTATTCTGACAAATTGCATTAAATGAGAATGTATAGAATCCGGTCTATATTGTATTTGTACCTATAGCGAAAACCCGCCAATAATGGTATATTATTATAACGATATATCTACGAGCCGTGGTAGCTCAGATGGTTAGCGCTCGCTGTAAATTTCACAGTATGCGAGCAACCCGGGTTCGATCCCCACTGGCACCAATGAAATTGTTAGTTACAATTTTAAGTGCCGATTTACCACATGCTCGGCGGTGAAGGAAAACATCGTGAGGAAACCTGCATGTTTGAGAAATAAAAATAAAATATTTCGAGGACATGTGAAGTTCGCCAACACGCATTGGGGCAGCGCGGCGGACAATTCCCAGCCCTAAAACCCTCTCAGAAATGAGAGGAGGCCTGTGCCCAGCAGTGGGACCTATATCGGCTGTAACTTTACCTTACTTTTATATCCAGAGATGCCGCGAATACTCGCAGTATTCGGCATTACTCGACATTTTTTTGTTATTGGTTGAATACCAAATAATAGCTAGTATCATTCGAAAAGTTGTCTAAAATAAACTTTTAATGAACATAAAAAACTATAGACCTAAAAATAATCAAACTTTAATTTTGCTTATATTATGTAACATAAGAAAAATATTCTTAGGTAATATGTTGATTTCAGCGAGCTTGAATATATTGAATCATTTTATGTTTAGACAGTCTGAGTTCAGATTGAATATTTTTGTATATCAACAAATAAATGATTGGTAGGTTCAAGACTACTACAAACAAGATCTTATTATTTGATAACAAACAAATTATTTTATATATTCCTTTTTTTGTCAAATAATTAGGACGAGTTATTTGACTATTCGCCATAGGGAATGGAGCAGTGGCGAAGCTAGAGCTCCAAGCTAGGGCAAGCCCAAGATATAAATTGATAAAAATATAGACTGTTGTTTTTAGCAGTTTTATAAAAATACACCAATCTTGATCTGTCTCCACGCTTCAGTTTCATATTCAGTTCTGTCAAGGACGTGTTTAACAAAGCACACAGAAGGCATACCACTGCTAGATAGATTGTATTACATATCAGCAATTGCATAGCTTCGGTGGTTTTGAAGAAAGCTGTTTGGGTTTGTTTAAGCGAAAGAAAAAAAATATTTACATCCAATACAATACATGAACAAAAGTAAAACACGAACAAAGTACAAACTATGTACAAAATTAAAAAAAAATATTCACATTCTAATGGATAAGAGATAAGATAAGATAAGTGGAATCGTCTCGCTTTCTTATGGAAAGATTTAATTACGTCCACGTAGAATGTTGGTGAACGTTTTAATTGTACCAATAACTGTTTTTAATTGCGATAAATGATAAGTCTGAAATACACTCTTAACCTTGTGTATAAAGTAAAAAAGTAAAGTTACAGCCTATATACGTCCCACTGCTGGGCACAGGCCTCCCCTCATTTCTGAGAGGGTTTTAGGGCAAGGAAGTGTCCGCCGCGCTGCCCCAATGCGTGTTGGCGAACTTAACATGCCTTCGAAATATTTTTTTTCTTATTCCTCAGACATGCAGGTTTCCTCACTATTTTTTCCTTCACCGCCGAGCACGTGATAAATAATACCTTGTGTATTCTCAACAAAGTTTAAAGATTTCCTCTCCGATTATCACTTTAACACACTTCAATTCATCACAAGGAACACTATTATCCTCCATTTTCATTAAAAATCTTTAAAAAAGCATAAATTTTGAACTCGTAATATTAAATCGCTTAAGATAAGCACACAGAGTAAATAAACATTGAAACGTGAAATGAACTTGCAAACGTATTGCCCGCGCGCCTCCGCTTTTAACAAATTTATTCCCAAAAGCCTGGCTTTAAATCTCTATACTAATTGCTATATATACAATCGTAGTTATATTTCATTATAGAATATTTTGCCATAGGTTAGAAAGAGAGCGATCGTCTTCTCGAAAGCCCCGTAAAAAAGCCCACGCGAGCGAGGGAGACAACTATTAGCTCTATTAAAACTCATTTTTTATGACAGCAGCAGTATCGCTAAGGCAATACGAGGTCATCGGTCGACGTGTGTCGAACAGTGGAGTGCGCGGGAAATTTGAAATAGCTTGAAACATTTTACGAGTTAATTTAATTAGTTGATATTATTGATTGATTCAGGTTTAATAAGGCAAGCCCGACTTTTCGGCTTTAATGGAAGCTTCGCCATTGGAATGGAGATTAATCAGTATTCGACTATTCGCTGTAACAACTATTCGTGGCATCTCTTGTTATATTATTGGGTTAATTTTTAATGGGAAAGTATTGGAAATGAAAAGTATATACAAGCAGCAGCAGTATTTGAAAATAACATTTATAACTAGTGACCTGCTTTGGCTTGTCCTGGGTGGTGGATCTGTTAATGTGGTGTTTATTTAGACTTAAGATAATCGTTAAATGCCATTTATTTATCATATCAATATTTCTATTTTAATAAAATCTCTAGATTTTTCGGACAAAATTTAGTCTAAATATTAACAAAAGAAATCAACAATAATTATGAAGAAAACTCTCAAAATGTGTCATAGCTCACAAAAAAGGAAAACCAGACTGAATTTTTTTTTGTAGTATGTGGGAATTGGTTGGAGTTGGACTGAAGTTATATATAACATACCAAAAAAGGTATTTCGCAACGTATTTTTTTCGCAGTCTTTACCGATGGGTATGAGTATAGATAGCAATAGTGTGCGAGCGTGAAGTGAATAGATGTGACGCCATTTTCAATCCGATTTTTAACTGCATGGGTAGTACTTACTAATATGCACAACACCACCTTTTTTTAGCATTTAATATTTGAAATTCTCATCAAAAAATAAAGTCTATATTTACATGTGTGCCTGTTCCAGTTCATCCAACGGCTGAGCTTTTGCTTGAAGGCCCAACATATATACTTGGTTAGCCTTCTTGTAATCACCAGATTCTTCACAGTAGCATGCCCAAGCTCGGTAAAATTCTGAGCATTCCACACCAATGCCCATATTGTATAGCCTCTGGTATATCTCCAAGGGATTTGATAAAGAGTCCACCTTAAGACAAAAAACCTTATTTATAAAATAGATTATATAAATGTTTTTGTAAGCTAAAAATAATTTTCATCTTTAATATCATTACTTAAGTCATTATATAGTCATAAAATTCAACAGTGATGACAAATTAGGGGTGGTAAAACTATAGACATCAGGTACTTGCATACTGGTGTGGGAGAAGGTAGGGTGGAAGGGTTGGGTGCAGGAGAAGCCCCACAACTCTTTTCTGCAGAATTTTTTTTTCAGTTTTTTTTGCAAATTCACAACCTCACATTACACAGGAATATTGACTCAAAGTTACTTCTGAAACTGCTTCGGCGCTGCGAGAAGTGCACCCATGCTCACCTCTGTATGATTGACTGATTTGGCTTAATAGTCGCCTTCGGTTATCAACCTCAGCCGATGCGGCTTGAACGAGTGTCTGCAATTTGCTACGGCGGGCGGGGGCTGCTCTCCCACCGCGCCTTTGGCTTTACAAAACCACTCTAGTGGTAGGGCCAGACAAGACTATGTGGATTCGGGGCGTGCTGATTCGGTTTTAGAACGATTTTATATACGTGGTAGAGCCATGCTGCAGTTATATTAGTAGTATAGTTGAAGCACAAAAGGGAAGGCTCGACCGGGGTAGGACAACACTCTGTAAAATAGTAGCTTAATGCTGCTGTGTTTCCTATGGTGAGTCTAGAGAACCGGAGACCCTTTTTACTGGAAACGAGGCATTCCATCTTAGTTCTCACGGGTGAAAACGCATCTGCATTTTGATTCTTAATCAAGGTTAAATGTCAGGTGGACTGTGTGCTTATTTGTCACCCTTAACTTATAAAAAAAGAAAGATTGGACCAATCGTATCTATAATAAGTATGGAACAAGTATTCGGTACTCGGTGGATTTAGCCGAACACAGAGTATTAATGATTGAGTACCGAGTACTAGGCCTTAATTATATTTCAGAAAAAATAAAGACAAAGAGTCAGTTTTTATCATATGTATATTAGACACATAAAATGTCAGGAACATGAGAAGCAGCAAAAATATTGAGAATGTACATAAGAATCTATACTAGACACTATTATGACTAATATTTAAAATTTAAGAGAGGAAGATTGTAATGCAAAAACACTAGTTTTTCCCCTATTTGGGTCTAGTTTGCTTCTTTTTGCTTTGTATACCTCTGAAAAAAGCCGTTGACTGTAAATTGAACTGGCTGATAAGTATTGAGCTGCAACTTTTCCCAAGATGGGGTAATAGCCTCTATTAGAAACCCACCACTTATATGGATTCGAATCTCTTGCAGCCCTTGGTACGCTTAAGTAATGATCTAACTCTGCTGCAGCGGAATTTAGGTTTTTAACTATTAACAACATTAGGTAGGTAACAGTTTGATGCGTCAGCGGCTTCTTTCTTCTTCAGAAGCATGTTTTGAATGAATTTTTTTATGTGTTTCCTAAAATCAATAATTTTTCTAGATGTTTTCCGATAACATGATTTTTATATGCACCAGATAATGAAAACAATCTCTTGACAAGTATTCAGTAATCACTAATCACTCATCGTGTCCGTAGGTGTGTGACTGATCAAGTACCAATGCAAGTACTTTTCTTTCGATACTACTTGATGCTCAGTTTTAAAGTATTGATACCAAAGTATTTGATATCGAAAGAAAAGTATCAAGTGAGTACTTGTATTTACTCTTACTGTTTCATCCCTAACTGTGTAAGGGAAATAAACGCGCGCCGTCCACTACCGCGTTATTTAAAAGCCGAGTATTCGGCCGAGTACTCGGTGAATAACTACTCTATCCATGTTTATCTATAATGTCAGATTTTGTTTGTTTGTGGTAAATGAAAAAAAAAAAACAATGTAACGTGAATTGTTATAATTTTGTTTTACAAAAAACCTCTTGACTGCTCTCCTCCACTGCCGCTCATTTTGTTGTATATGAGTCCCATCTTTAGTCACAAATGGAATGTATGGGTTTGTGTGATTAACTTTTTTATGGGTGTATCCACATTAAAAAAATATTAATAGTAGACAAACATCTACTTCATAATACTAGAACAAATTGACATTGCATTTCATTATAAGCAATTTTAAGTGAAATTTATTTTTATCGAATGAATTCAAAAGGCATTTCTGAAATCCAAAACAGTGTAATAGGTTCAAGCTTAACCCTCACAAGCTCCTAAACTAAAAACATTATTAAAATCAAGTACCAGATGTATATAGCCAACTCTTAGGGACTCTGCAGAAAACAACATTCTGTTTTTATAGTGGTTCTCTTATTAGGCTGAGCCCAGGAAGCACTTCAGAATCGGCAGCAATTCATAGGAATGGAACAATAATGAAACAAAAAACGGAAAATAGGGCTGCAACCAGCCCTATTTTCATTTAAATTCAAATGCATTCTATTTTTAGTACATTAAAAAACATTGATATTTAATAAATGAAACTTTGGTTTCTTATATCGAAAAATAAAGTTTTTATGTCATTTCACATCATTTCATTTTATTTCAAATGCATTCCATTTATCTAGCTTTAAATTTTAACTAGTTGATATACACTGTACATTTATGATATCATGCAAACATTTAATGTTTAAAAATGAATAAAAGTAATGGTTTTCAAGTCTTAATTTGTTATCCTATTTTATGGTACTTAAAATTTGTTTACTTGAATAAGTTTACATTTAGTAATATTCCAAAAATAATTTAATATTTCACATCTTTATGAAATATATTCACTAAAAAAAGAGATTCAGTATTTAACATTATCAATTCTAAAACCCCACAGAGCCTTTATCACAATATGTGTGTATAGCCTCACAGTATAAAAAAACAAAGTTGTATTGCTTTTGTAATAATTTGTTTACTAATAATAAGTAATTTGGACAGCACAGTGATATATCACTTTTATCAAAGTTGTGCTAAGATCCTACAGTTCTTGTATTAGCTCTTCTAATTTCCCTAAAATCTCAACAACAGTGGAACTTTAGATTCATTGTTATTTAAAATTAGATATTAGTGAGCTTGTCTGTCTTTATATAAAAAATGTTATCATTGTCAATTCAGCAAGGCTAGCCAAGATGACATTATACATTCATTAATGCTATAAAAAACAAAAAATATTAATGAAAATAAAGCAGTTATGTGATTTAATGTTCAGACATGTCATTTCCATTCATTTTTATAGTTTTCCATGGTGTTAACAAATGTATTTAGACTTTTTAACATAACCTAACCCTACTGATATCCTTTGTTATGGCTTAAATAAAAAAAAATCAAGGAAAGTCCAAAGACTCCAATATCTTTTAGACCATTCTCCTGAAATATTATCAAGAACAAATTAAAATTAATATTGGTTCTATAATTTAATATATGAAAGGATACATAAACTGGTGTAAGAATATACATGCAAACGATTTCTCGAAATGAATACTTCAACATAATAAAGACTGGTACTGAGGAGCAACATTACCAGTCAGAGGGTAACTGATTGAGCTTGTAAGCCTGCCAGCTGACTGATGATGTATGAATATTGATGTATAAACAATTCATAATACTTAAAAAATCAACAGGATTTATAAGATACACTTACATATTTTATCCACAGCTTTACAAGTCTTCTATCTTGATAGTATCGTTCATCCTTCTCAAATAATTGCAAACAATCTTTTATTAATTTGTCTATATGCCCTTCATGTCCATGCTTGGGGTATGACTGTTCAACCCACTGGATATAGTTAAACCATGGTTCCAAGGGGTCCATGCCCTGATATTGCCTGATAGCTGCTTCATGTTCCCTATTTAAAAAGTCCCAATAGTTATTTTATGTATTTTGAATGCAGATGCACTTATGAGTACGAAAAATATATATAGATTTTAAAGTGTATAAGGGAATAATATGTCGAAGGGTTACTTGATACAAAATAAGACAGGGATAATTTAATAAATATTAAAACAAAAAGTCTTACTCTTTTTGCAACTGAAGCTGTCTTTGAGCGTCGACATCCGATTGGGCTTGCAATGCAGTTCCTAGCTGTAAAAGATTTCTACCTCCTCGCAATGGTTGTATATTTTCTTTACTAACGTCTATATCCATAATAGGAGCTCAATGGAGTTTAAAATATCAGTACATTGGTGATAAACACTAAAAACTGAACACAAATATGTGATTCCGAAAACTTAAAATCAAAGCTTGCATAAGCTTAAAACACCGTCACTATGCTTTCAGTAGTAATAATACTGACACAAAATCACTATTTAACTTAAATTATTTTGTATTCATTTGGATTCAGCTGTTAAATCTGAGAAAAATTCGTGACTGTTACCAACCGAACCACAAAATCAGAAATCAACCACCATCAAATTGACAATATTACTAGAATAGAATGCAGTAGTCTATGGTGAGATTTGAATTTATAAAGAAGTATGGCCGTTATATAATTTGTGACTGTTGTGCGGATTCTGCTGTCAGCAGGTCAGCAGTGTTTTCGAACCTACCGATTTTTCGGTATTTCTACCGATTATGCGCTTGTCCTACCGAAATACCGAAATGGATCGATTATTCTACGATTTTTTTAATGTAAGGAATTTCTCCCGATTTTTATACAGAGTTTCAACAATCCAATTTGACATCCCTATATTTTATCTTTTATGGAGTTTCTCGACTGCTCAAACATCGGCATATCCCTTTGTAAAAGGTACGAGTCCGACACATAGCCGTTATATAAAACTAGTTGCTCCGCATCGTGCGCTATTACACAAGTGATCGTGCCGGTCAATTGAGCTCCGACAAATATGCCGAATTGAAGTGTATTTTCATGCAAAAAACAATCAAAACCGTCAAATCTACAGAAGGACAACGTGGCTTTTTATCTGTGAATACTTTTGACATAATATTACCGTTAAAACAAGCATTTTATGAATATTTTCGTAAAATACAAAGTGCTGCCAGCATAGTTCATGAAGTGAAAAATAAGCGATTTTAAAATAAATATGATTTACTAAACAAAATAAATATATTTGCGAAAATTTATTTCATATAAACTAAATCAGTTTGTGATCAATAATAATCATTACATTAAGATGTGTAGTGAATTTTGTCAAATAATTTAAATATTCACCACAAACCAAACACGGTTCTGAATGTATTATAATTTAATATAATCAATAAAGGCCGAATAAGTCGAATCGAAACTTGCCACTTCGTAAAAAAAGTATGCAATTTTTGTACAATTGAACTGGTATCACTGCAACCGAAAGTACTGCAATGTAGTGATGTACGACAGAACTTTAGCTATCGATAAGTTAATTATTCCATTCGGGTTTGTCTGCCTAAAGGTTTTTATTTTTTGTTCAGATTTTATAATAAAGTATTACAAAAAGTAGTAAATTTTTCTATAATGATTTCTTATATTTACGCGAACACTATACATGATTAAAACTACTTTTACGGATTTTATCGCGTTTATTTTTACTTTTTATTTACTTTTATTTTTAATTCCCAACGTTTCGGGCGCATTCCAGCACCCATGGTACATGTCAGTCCCCCGTGACCATGGGTGCTGGAAAGCGCCCGAAACGTCGAGAATTAAAAATAAAAAGTAAAAATAAACGCGATAAAATCCGTAAAAGTAGTTTTAATCAAATTTTTCTATTATTGGTTTAATAATAATAAATAGAAAATCATCATCATCATCATTACAGCCCTTCACAAGTCCACTGCTGAACATAGGCCTCCCCCAAGTAATGCCACAAAGCACTGTCCTGAGCCACCTGCATCTATCGACTTCCTGCATGTCTTACCAGGTCGTCATTCCATCTAGTGGGGGGTCGCCCTACACTACGCCTACCGGTACGAGGCTGCCACTCGAGAACCTTTTTTCACCATCGGTTATCGGTTCTTCGAGCTATATGGCCGGCCCATTGCCACTTCAGCTTACTTATCCGTTGGGCTATGTCGGTCACTCTGGTTTTACTGCGGATATCCTCATTTCTGAGTCTATCACGCAGAGAAACTCCGAGCATAGCCCTCTCCATAGCTCGCTGAGCGACCTTGAGCGTCCTCATACGGCCAGTAGTGAAGGACCACGTCTCAGATCCGTAAGTCATCACTGGCAACACGCACTGGTTATACACTTTAGTTTTCAGAGATTGAGGTATACCTGACGAGAAGATGTGTCGTAATTTCTCGAACGCTGGCCAGCCGAGTTGAATCCTTCGATTGACCTCTCGGTCGAAGTTGGACTTACCTAGTCGGACTATTTGTCCCAGGTAAACGTACTCGTCAACAACTTCGAGCATAGTGCTCCCAACAACTACTGGCATAGATGTGACATGGACATTAAACATAATTTTTTTTTGTCCATGTTCATCTTAAGACCTATCCGTTGGGAGACACCATTGAGGTCATTGAGCATAGTGCTAAGGTCCTCCAGCGATTCTGCCATAAGGACTATATCGTCGGCAAATCGAAGGTGAGTGATGTACTCGCCGTTGATGTTAATACCGTATCCTTTCCAGTCCAGTAGCTTGAAAACGTCTTCCAATGCAGCGGTGAAGAGTTTCGGGGATATAACGTCACCCTGTCTTACACCTCTCTGCAGTTGGATAGGTTACGAGCTCTGGTTCTGTACTCGGATAGCCATCGTAGCCCGACTATAGAAACACTTCAGCACTTCGATATACCGACAGTCAACTTGGCACCGCTGAAGGGACTGTAGCACCGCCCAAATTTCGACCGAATCAAAGGCTTTCTCATAGTCCACATATGCCAGGCAAAGTGGCAGATTGTACTCTTGGGTCTTCTGTACAATCTGCCGCAGGGTATGTATGTGGTCTATGGTACTGAAGCCTTTTCGGAAACCGGCTTGTTCGGGAGGCTGGAAGTCGTCGAGTCTGCGTGCGAGACGATTCGTAATGACTCTCGAAAACAGGACGTAGACGCGGCTCAGAAGGGAAATCGGTCTGTTGTTCTTCAAGAGAGCGTTGTCGCCTTTCTTAAAGAACAAGACCACCGCGATTCTGCTCCACGCCTCCGGAGTAGTGCCACCATGGAGGACGGAATTGAAGAGCTTCTGAAGGACTTCAAGTACCGGTGTTCCACCCGCTTTCAGAAGCTCCGCTGTAATTCCATCCTCGCCCGGGGCCTTTCCGTTTTTAAGGTGGTGGAGAGCCATTCTAATCTTGCTCAGACTGACGTCCGGGATATCATCGGAATAGTGTCGGATAAGACTTGGATCGTTACTCACACTTGCGTGTGACTCCAACGATGATGTGTACAGCTGCCCATAGAACCTCTCAATCTCACTCAGAATCTCAGGTGTCCTGGAAACGATGTTGCCACACTCAGTCTTCAGCTTTGACAGTTGGCTCTTTCTGGCAGACAGATCTCTGGCAAAGACTTTGGAGCCCTTATTCCGCTCGATCGCTTCTTTAATACGAGCAGTATTAAAGTTGCGTAAGTCTCGACGCATGCATTTGGAGATCTGTCTGTTCAGTTGCCTGTATGCTGTCAAATCTGTTGACGATTGCAGCCTCATCTCCCGTCTAACAGCCATGAGATTAAGAGTGTGATCGGAGAGTTTTTGTGTTCTTCTGCGGCGGGTCTTGCAGGACTTGGCTCCGACCGCATGGACAGTTTCCACGAGCTTGTCATTCATATCGTCCACTGCATTGCGATCCTCTAGGCACTGAAAGCGGTTTTGTAACTCGAGCTGAAAGGTTTCGGGATTTTGGATTAGAGCACGAGGAGGACGAAGCGTTGACTTCATTAGACGAGACCTCTCCAACTTAACGTTTAGGTTCAGTGTGCCTCTAACCATTCGGTGATCGCTGCCAGTTTTCACCCTTGCGATCACTGAAATATAAAATAATAATAGTTTATTCAGTAAATGATCATACACAAATTATAACCGGGATTGAGGTCTTTTTTTAAGTATAACTAACAAACTAAACTCCCCTAAGTAAAAACTTTGCTATTTTCTTTACATAATAATTAACTATAACATTAAAATAAAAAAAACAATAATATTCACGCGCACATGTGTGTGTGAATGAGTGAGTGAGTGCACAAACGCTCATGAGTGTGTATGTTTGTTATAAATAAATTTGGTGCTCTTTTAAACATTATTTCATATTGCTTAAAAGAGCACCAGTATTATCAGAGCTCTTATGAAATAGTCATTCGGTTAGAACATATGAATTTTTATGCTTTTATTAATGGCGTTGTATAGAGTCGCTGAGTGTTGTAATTATTGCACCCTAGCTAAAACAGTTTTAACAGGGACAGCTGCAGCCTCTACGTTTTTTCTTCTTTTGGCTACAATACAACTGTTAAACTTTATACCTTTATGAAATCTTAGAACTGAATATCAGATGTACGGTTTCCTAACAGTAAGTACATTATTTATGGCATAAAGATCTACTGTAGGGAATCTTTTTGGTTTAAAATGCATAATTGTTAGATAATTTCTCGGTACCCTTTCAACTTCAACTAGAAATGTTGTTTTTCGTGATCACCGAATGGTTAGAGGCACACTGAACCTAAACGTTAAGTTGGAGAGGTCTCGTCTAATGAAGTCAACGCTCCGTCCTCCTCGTGCTCTAATCCAGAATCCCGAAACCTTTCAGCTCGAGTTACAAAACCGCTTTCAGTGCCTAGAGGATCGCAAATCAGTGGACGATATGAATGACAAGCTCCACCCCATACAGAAATACAATATACGAGCTTAGATAGATTGAGCCAAAGCAGTATATATTCGGTATAGTAAATTCTTCGCCTTATTGTTGTATTTTGTTTAGTTTATTAGTTCAGTTGTTAGTGTTGTGTTGTGTTTTAAATGTCCTTGTAAGTTTCCTAAGTCTATTCATGATTAATTCAATGTATCTATGCCATAACAAATGTTGGTGAACAATAACTCCTAAACACTTGGTCTCAGAGACCTTACTAATTAATGAACAGCTGCAAATAGTACTTAAGGGCATGTGTGAAGCTTAATTAGGAAATTAATATTAGGCTGAGTCCGAAAATAATTTGTAAACATATATAACTAGTAGTTCAAAGTATTCAAAATAAGTTTTTTTATAGTACAGGGTGAC